GCGTATGGTGCAGCTTCGTGAACTGGTTGTGGGAGTATTGTTTTAGTTAGAATTTGGGCAAAAACAACTAAAACGTGCTTTCCTCGTCACTTCTCTAGAAAAAAAACAAAACGTATCAACGTTAACACCTTTTGCTTTTTTTTTATTGGACGCCATAATTGATAAAAAATGGATTTTTGTATTCACTGTTTATGTGCGTATATGATCATGTTTTCAGTCCGGCCTAAAAATATCGGATCATCTTCTATCTTTGACATGAGGTGAATATATCTCTTAAATTTGTATTTAGAAAAGATATTGATAATAGCAAATTGATGAACTTAAATTTAGATATTAAATTGCTTAGAAGTTGCACTACAAATGGTTGATTTAGTGTCTCCTTGGGACACATTTAATCCGCTTTTGAATAACAACGTCACTAATATAAAAAATTGTTGGAATCGATGTGTGTACCTATGAGCTTTAGAAAATTTTGTAAAAATAGGATGTGAGTTTAGCTACACAAGTATTGACTAATATGTTGCAATCATCCCAAATATAGAAATGTGTTCTTAACTACACATACTATTATGTAATATATGGTAACATACACCAAATATATATTAACATGTTAAAAACTACAAATTGGATGTTTTTTATTAATATTTATCAGTTTAGGGGTCAATTTGTAATTATTTTCAAAAATAACAATTTCTAAAAAAATCCAAAAAATTAAAAAGCATACAAAACTTAACAAATTGAAATAAAATCTAGAAAAGTTTAGAGAAATTTAAAAAATGCCACTTTTCAAGTGCCACTTTTCAAAAATACCACATTTTCAAAATCTTTGCAAAAAATATCACTTTTTCAAAAACAAAATTTTATTATATCATTTATGTTTGGATTAACTATGTTGTATTAGGGTTTAGTTTTGAAGATTTAAGGGGTTTTAGGAGTCAAAATATTTTGTAGAGTTTATAATTTTAATATTTAGGCTATAAAAATCTATAATTAGTGGCAATTTTTCATATGGACACCCTTAAATGGTATTCTTGCAAATGTACACACCGAAAATGGTATTTTTACAATTACCCCAAAAATTTAAGAAAAAAAATAATAATTAAATTCTTGCAATTACTACACAAAATGATCTAAATTGTAATTTTTAACATGTTTACATATACTTGGTGTATATCACTATGTATTACATAATAGTTTGTGTAATTTAGAACACATTTCTATACTTGAGATTGTTTACAACATATTAGTCAATGCTTGGTGTAGTTAAGAATGGTTTTTTCATAAAGTATATCTAGTAATATATATTAAGATCGAAGCTACATACTGTATGTCTAATTCAATTTTGGTTCCATATTATGATTGGAGAAGTGTTCGAATCGAACTAAGATTGAATATAATTTGATAATCACTGTGGGGCTAAAGTTAATGCATACTCAAGAAATTATCTTTTCCTGGTAAAAATTTGAAACATAAAATTCTGATTCACGGATTTGAGACAAAGTACTTGAGAACAAAAATCAAAGGATAGTAATTTACAAGAAAAATGCCACAATAATTTCTTTAACCAAGCTTGGCAAGAACATCGTTTAAAGTAGAGACTGTCTCTGAATAGTACTTCTCAGCATCCGGAGTACTCTTCTTCTTCGCCGCGTAATCCAACTGCAAAAGAATCAAATCATTAACAAACTTTCGATCATACAAGCAAAAGCATTACAAAATCTTGATAAACTGCTCTCAATGAGTTTTAATACTCTTGTCATGAACTGATCACACATGTTTATGCTTCTTAACCAAGAAACCATGAGTGGAAATACTAAGCTTCCAAGTGGTGAGTTAAATTGGCCTAAAACCCATATAAGAAATGACGTAAACCAAATCCTGCAAACCGAGTTTTACAACCTCGATCGTTAAGAAAGCTTAGGCAAATTATTTGTTCTGAATCGCTATTTGCTTTGATTCGATCCAAAATATTTAAATATCCGTTTTGAATCAAAGCATAGCAAATAGCAGAATCTAGTATCCGTCTAAAGTGCAGTAGATCACAAATACCAATTTTAAACATCCGAATGAATATCTGCTTTGATTCGTATATTACTTATATATCTATAAATAATAGCAATCCTAAAAATAAATACTCTCGGGTTGTCTTTCCTAAAAAACCGTTTAATGGTTATTTCTAAGGGATGTGTCTTTTCGACATAACCGCTTTTTCAAAAAATTGTGTTTTTCGATACAATCGCTTTATGATTATTTTCAAGGGTTTTCTTTTTTTTATATATAATGGTGTCATTTCGAAAGTAAACGCTTTATGGTTATTTCCAAAGACTGTGTTTTTTCAATATAACCGCTTTATGGATATTTTCAAGTGTAGTTTCTTTTTGATAAAACTGTTTTATGATTATATCCAAAGATTGTGTCTTTTCGAAAAAACCACTTTGTGTTTTTCTAACTATATATTTTGTTTCATTAAACAATTTTTTTTATATGGCTCCTAATTTTAAAATTCATTCAAAGCACGATGTTAATAAAAAACATCAAAAAATGTTTTTGAGTCTCATAATTTTTTGTTTCATTGTTTAAACTAAAATTCGAGAAAATATTTGGAAAGATCGCTTCTCTTTCTCATAACTCTTTTGTACATTTTTTATTTATAACCATATTTATATATTTTAAATATGTTTTGAATAATCGTGTATTTGCATCTTTTTACTTTTTCACCTTTTTTTTGAAAATTACCTATTTACTTTCAATTATATAAAATGTGTTAGATATTCACTCTTCAGAACGTCACTTTTTGTTTTTATATATTTTCACTTATAATTATTTTAGTAATTTTCTATTTAAAATTTAATATACGAAATTTCCCCCCGTGATTTCGCGGGTGTCTGAATCCTAGTAAATATAATATATATTTGTATTTTTAGACTTTTTTAAATACATTTGGTAAAAATATTTATAGTAAAAAGGTAGATACTACCTTTTAAATTGAAAATGTATATTTTTCTTTTTTTTCTCATTAAAAAAAATATATGTTTCAACTTTCACCATTTTTATCTTCCACTTATCATTTTTCTTATATTATATCGAGCAAAATTAGATAATTAAATATATTCTTCACTATCTAGTTTAAAGTTTACATTAAAACAAATGTTTTTTTAAAATATGGTGTTTTAAATATTAATTTTTAGTTTAAAATAGATATCCGTGAATTTTCCGAATATCCACAAATATCCATAAAAAAATCTGGATATCCAAAATTTTTCGAAACAGAACAAATAAAAAAAATTAAATATCCGACAAAAACAAAACGGATCACAAATACTGCATTTTTTCAGATATTCATTCTTTTTCCAGGGCTTCCGACCCTGGGTTTAAGTCCATGAAACAAAGGCTATAGGCATCGCGTATAAGGGCATCAAAAGTGTTAAAACCTCCTTGTAGTACAGTTGTTTAGTTTGGTTTTGGTAGGCAGTAGTTTGTGAGTTCGATCCCTCAAAAGAATATTTAGATTAGTTTGGTTAATATGTAAAGTAATTCTGAGGGCATAAAAAGTGTTAAAACTTTCGAAATTAGTTTACTAAAAGAGTTTCAACCCCGTAAAAACGCCTTTGAGAGGCAGAGTTCCCCAAATCAAAAACCCTAGCCGCCTCTAGGGATGGCCAAATTGGGTTTTGGATTGGATTTCTTAGATTTATATTGGATTTAGGTTATTTAGATTAAAAATTATTGTACCAAATGCAATCCAATTAAAATTTGGATTGGATTTTTTAGATTTTAGATTAGATTTAGGTTATTTGGATTAAAAATTATTGTACCAAATTCAATCCAACTAAAATATGGAATGAATTTCTTAGTTTTGGATTGGGTTTAAATTGTTTGGAACGCAAATAATTTGACCAAATTAAACTTAAATCTATTTTCGTTTGGGTTATTTGGAGAAATTTGAAAGTGTTCTTCAAATTTCTATCGATGATTTCTTTTATACTAAAAGTTTTGTTAACTTATCATTAGGGTTACTAGTAAAATTAGGTAAATTTACGTATGATGAAGATGTTAATAGTATATTACTATTTTTGATATAAGTAATTAGACATTTCTATTAAGTTATTTATTAATATAATAATATAGGTAATAAAAAGTTTGGATTTTATTTGGGTTTTTTAGTTATCTAAATACCAATCCAAATAACCCATATCCAAATTAATATTTATTATTCGATCTAAATAGATTTTTATATAAATCCAAATTCATACTAATGCGGGTTGT